TTTTTTAAATTGGTTGCAGGGTTAATAGACTAATACATGGTCCTTTTATTTCAGAAAAAGAACCACCCCCCCAAAATAAAACCCCAAAGCACCTAAAAAAGGGATAGTTTTTCAAGAAAAGGGCTTAAAAATTGAAATCACAGAATCATCAATGGTGGAAGAGACCATCAAGATCATCCAGTCCAACTGTCCACCTAGCAATACCACTGTAAAAGTTCACATTCTTTGTATTTCTGATACACAGAAGAAGAGTCTAAAGCTAAATCATTAGGTAATCATGACTATTTGAACTCTGAAGTTCCGTGAATTCTCAATTTCTATCCTTTTTTCACAGTGTTTCTAATCACCCAAATAAAAAGATGACAATGGAGGCTTATCATAAGGAGGATTAGATCCCTCATAGATTTGGAGTCTTCATAAGATCTTTAAAAATATGATCATCCTTGTGATACAGAGGAGTCTGAAACATTTGGTTGAACACTTCTCTGTCTTTGGAAAGAAGTGGGGTATTTTTTTCATGCCTTCCAGAGAAAGTGAAATATGTTCTCTTCTCTTAGTAGCTCAAGAGGATGATTAACAGCAACCGTTAAATAAGTTAAACATTTTTAAATCACAGGCCTGGATCACTGGAATAGATTTGGCTGTGAACTACTATCTTGAGTCAGAGCTACTAACTGGCCTCATTCATTTCAAATGACACAGAAGAAGAGAGAGATGGTTGTGTTAGTCAATCATAGGATGTCTATGAGCCAGAGATCCGGTGTGTCTTTGGAAGAGAAAGAAGTACAAGCTTCAACTAATGTCATATATTTCCAATTAAAGCAAGAAAAATACAAATAAGTACACCCATTACTAAATACTGAGTATAGCTTGGCCGTACAAAAGAAAATATATTTCAAAGTAGGACAGGTGGAGAGAAAAGCTAATACTGTGTTCAGCAGAATGATTAGACTGTCATATAGTGCCTTGCTGAGCCCAGCAATAGAAAAGATGAAAGACATAAAACTGTGGGGCTTAGAACTGTATAAATACTTCAGAGGAGAAGAGTAGGGCAAATACTTTGGCAAGGGGTTTGACCATTGACTATGAATGATAACACTGACTTAAAGGCAAGTATACACAAGCTGAATATGGGGAAAAGTTGGCACAAACTTCTAATAATAGCAATGAGGAGAAAAAAAACCCAAATTGCTTTTAGGTTGAAAATCAATATGCATACACTGCATAGTTTGATTGACTGAGGCAGCTAGAATGGGCCAAGGATATTCCTTCCAGTTCTCTGCCACTTACTTGTTCATTAGAAAAATTGTTGGGTTTTTTTTTTTTTTTTTGTTGCACCAAAATTTAAGAAAGGTTAAAAATGTGAACTCTGAAAGAGCAGAACTCTGATAAACTAGCTTGGCTTTTGTCTTAGGCAGCAATAGAGTGTAATATGGGATAAAATCAGTAAAGATAGTAGCATAATTAATGACAATTAATATAGCTTTATAATAAACAGTTCTTATCAAACAAATGGTGTCTTTCTGATGAGATTACATTTGGCTTAGGATAGTAACTGGGATTTTATAGTATAGCTAGAGATAGAACACAGAGATATTTGTCTTAAGATGCCTTAGCAAACAACATTCACAAAATACATATTCAATATATTAAATATGCATTAGTTGAGTGCTTATAGTTTACTGTACTTCCAGAATGCTTATAGTTAACAAACTAAATTGGAGTCCAGTGTTCAGTGTCTTTATCAATGTTCTAGAAGAAATATAAAATCAATACAGATAAATATATGGGTGAAATGAACAATAGCAGAAAAATAAATAATGTCAGAGACAGTTCAGTAATAAAGTTTGCTATGTGTCATTTAATAAAGATGTAAGGTTAATTTGAACATATACAAGGTCATATAATAAGAAAAAGGGAATTTACATCATATTTTTGGAGTTGGGAATAGATATGTGGAATTGACTTGCAAAAGGCCTTAGAATAAAACTGAATGAAAACTAATTTTTTGTTTGTTAATTTCTATTATTCCAAATCTATACATTAAAATAAAACTGTTTAATTTGAAATGTTTAAATTTTTAATTCAGTCCCAAGTTTGATTTTTAATTGATTAGAATGCTTGGTTTGGAGGAAATAAGAAATATTAAACAAGGCAGAGGAAAGTTTGGAATTAAACATTTTTAAACTAAAAAATCAAAATGTTTTAGATCCTACAAATGTGAAACTCCTGGGGCTGAAGTTTAGACATTGTATTGCTATTAGCTGCTCTTGAAACTTTCTCTGAATTGGACACATTTACACTATGGACATACTTGTTCTTGAAACCTTGCTTCATGATATTCCAGTATCATGCCCTTTCTGAGATACATCAGCTGGCTTTGTAAATAACTATTATTTCTAAGAAAGGCGCTTTGACTTCCAGGAGATACCTTCAGAAGCTTAAAGAATGTAGGATACCTTTCTTACCGTGCTGGGTTGATGCTGGCTGCATGTCAGGTTCCCACTGAAGCTGCTCCATCACTTCTCTCCTCAGCCAGACAGGGGAGTGAAAATATAATGAATGGTTCATGAATCGAGATAAGGACAGGGAGATATCACTCACCAGCTACCATCACTTGACTTGAGTACTTTATCAGTAATCAGGGTAGGGTAATGAGAAATAAAAGCCGAGTGTTAAAACACTTCCCCCTAAAACACCTTGCCCCTAACCCTCCCTTCTTTCCTGCTCCACCCCTCCCTTTTTCCCAGGCTCAACTTCAGCTCCAAGTTATCTATCTCCTCCCCTGCAGCAACTCAAGGGGACAGAGAATGGTGTTGTGGTGAGTTCATCTCATGTCATCTCTGCTGCACACTCCTCCACTCTCTTCTCCAGCTCCAGTGTGTGGTCCCTCCCAAAGAAGAGAGTCCTTCATCACTTCTCCAACATGTGTCTTTCTCACAGGATGAAAGTTCTTCACGAACTGCTCCAGCCTGGGTTCATTTCATGGGGTACAGTCCTTCAGGAGCAGACTGTTCCAGTGTGGATTCCTCATGGGGTCACAAGTCCTACCAGCAAAGTTGTTTCAGTGTGGGCTCCTCTCTCCTAAGGGTAAAGGTCATGTTAAGACCCATGCTCCAGCATGGTCTTCATCACAGCCTCCTTCGGGCATCTTTTTCCAGCATAGGGTCCTCCACAGGCTGCAGAGGAACAGCCTGCCTCAGCATGGTCTTCACCACACACGTAGAGGAATCTCTGCTCCAGTGCCTGGAGCACTTCTTCACTGACTTTGTTGCCTGCAGAGTTGTTCATCTCATGTAGTCTCATTTCTCTTTCCAGCTGCAGTTGCACAGGGGTTATTTTATCCCCTCTTAACTGCGTTCTCCCAGAGGCACTGTCACCATTGCTGACAGGCTCAGTCTTGGCCAGTAGCAGGTCCATCTTGGAGCCATCTGTCATTGGCTCTTTTGGACACAGAGGGAATCTTCTAGCAGCTTCTTACAGAAGCCACCAATGTAAAACTCCCTACCGCCAAAACCTGGCTACACAAACCCAACACACTTACGCTTTGCTGACTTACTTTACTCTGTCTACTAAGCCAGGAAGATTAAAAGAGAAATAATCAGTAACTATGGTCAGGCCATGAGGCATAGCTTTGTAGGTCCTGCTATTGGAAGTATCTGGGGCCAGACATTTGTTAACCTAATAACAGCCGCATTTTTTCACAATATGAGGCTTCTTGTGTCTTTCATGGGAACCCCTACCTCCTAATTTAATAACTTCTGGTTATTTTACATATTTATAAATCTGTAGAATATAATGCAAATTTATGATAATAATGGTAAAATAAAGCTGATAGTTAAAACCAGAAAATGGTGAGTATTCTGCATTTTTAAAATGGACCTTTTCATTGTTAAGTGTGTCACAGCCCTGCAGTGTTCTCAAAGTTCCACCACTGATCTTGGCACAGAATGCTGATTACATTGCAGCGATGTCAAGGAAATGCGTAGTAGCAAATGAATGCATTTTTTAATGTTTCAGTTGAATTATTTTAGTCCAAATCCAAAATAGTCACTTTACAATCCAACTTTCTAATTGCAAACTTGCAGGCTACTAAAGCCATTTGCTTGTTAGTGACACAGGACTTTGCCAAGTGTTAAATCCCACACCTACAGTAGATGACAGTTCTTTTTTCTTAGCCTGCTGGGCCTCAGTACATTTTTCACTCCATTGCCAGTAGTACAGGCTTCTGGGCTGTCTTAAAGAAGAAAACATATTTTCTAGGTTTTTTCCTATTTTAATTGTTATCTCATGTTTCACTGGTGGTGACTTTCTATCCTTTCTTCTTTCTCATTCTTACAGAATATTTCAGTTCTTTAATTTTCTTCACTTTTTTTTTTTCTTTTCTGTTCACATTGCTTCAAATGTCTTAGTGCTGGTATCAAATTGAAATATCAATGTAAAGAGTAGTGCACTTATAGCTAGCTCTCCTCATTTCACCTGCTTGAGTCTTGTATCTTGTTTACTTGTCGAAGCTTTCTCCATGCCATATGTTATGCCCATGTTATAGCAATTTATTTTCAGCTCTAAAACTTATGGTCTTTATTTCTGGTCTTGCTAGGCCTAAAAAATTAGGGTTTTATTCTCTATTAACCTCTTTTATTTAGTTTGACTTGCACAACCACTATCTTAAGACATTGTATTTATTCTTGAGTATGCTGCTACTGAAACCTTTAGTCATGTTTCAATTATACTAGGGCATTCTGAAATTAAGGCATGTAATTAAGTGTCTTTTAGCATTAACGTCAAAATAATTTCTTAAGCATTTATTATAATTTTTCTTTTGACAAACTGTAAACCAAAAATTAATATCTGTATGTTTTAAGGAACAAAAACTGTAAAGTGCACCAAAAAAAAACCCCAAACCAACAAAAACTTGAAAATGCAATGACCATAATTACAAGACAGCATTTTATTCACTTATTTATTGTATCCACAGTTTGTGAAAACAGGTTGTTATATCTTGCTACTTGGGCAGAGAGCTAGGAGATTTGTACAAACATCCCTTTGTTATTTTTATCCTTCAAGCTTGCTGCCTTTAGAGACTGTATGATCTTCTTTGGCAAATGCCTTTATGGTCTTGAGTATCTAAAATGCTTCACACATTACTGGCACTACCAGAAATAAGTAGTAAGATCCCCAGAGGTCTCAGAGACTTTCAGCCTACCCCATAATGAATGGCCCTACAGACAGACCCAGGACATACGTTAGATGATATGTAAATCTCAGTTGAACTCCAAATACAGGGCACGAGGAGAATCTAGATCTTTGTCGAGAAGCACATACATAAAGGATTAAATATGTTTGAAAACATTAAGAATCATTAGCGTTTATGTGGAAACAAAATGTTGTGGTTTAATCCGGCAGTCAGCTCAACACCACACAGCTGTTCGCTCACTTCCCTCACAGTTTGGTGGGGCTGAGAACTGGAATAAGAAGTAAAAGTTTTGTTTGAGATAAAGTCAGTTTAATAGCACAGAAAAAGGAAAGGAAAATAATAATAATGATAAGAGACCATACAAAACAAGTTACCCTCAACTGCTCACCACCCGCTGACCGATATCTAAAGCATTCCCAAAGAGCAGGCTGCCACCCCTCTGCAGACTTTCCTCAGTTTTATTGATCAGCATGGTGCCCTATGGTGTTGGATTTCTCTTTGGTCAGTTGGGCTCAGCTGTGCCATCTGTGTCCCCTCCCATTTTCTTGTTTACCCCCAACCTGTGCAGTGGTGCAGTGGAGTGAGGAGCAGAGAAGGCCTTGGCTTTGTGTAATCCCTGCTCAGCAACAACTAAAACCTCAGTGTGTTATCGACACTGGTCTCATCTTAAATCCAAAACACAGCATTGTACCAGCTACTATGAGGAAAATTAACCCTACCACAGCAGAAGCCAGAAAAAAAAAAAAAAGAGTAATAAGGTATTTAGGAAACATAGATAAGAAATTAATTGACTCATACATTCTGTGATAGATGATGGCATTTAATTATTGATAAAATAGATTAGCAACTGAGTATAAAAATAGGAGAAGGGTTTTATATAAAAATGAAAGACCTAGAAAAAGAAAGAGCATACCTAGAACTAGAAGAACAATTAAATTTCAGCCTTGCTGAGATCCAATATTAAAATAGGACTGTAGAATCCTGTTCTGTTGGCAAAATTAGGAGGTTTCATCTTCATTTTTCTCTTCATTTAGTATTTCTCGTTTTGTTGTTTGATTCACTTCTCTGGCCACTTGCTGGTTTTACCTCCCTGAAACACCTGGAGGAAAAAACCACAGAGCTACCACATACCTGGTCCAGGAAACTTGGTCTGGGCTCACTGAGGCTCTCTAGATGAGGGCGAGGGACGGGATGATGGAGCGCCATGGCTGGCAGTGGGGAATGGAAGGAGATTCTAGCTGCTTTTCCAAGTTCCTTTGGTGTTTCTCTCTGTGTGATGGGGGGCATGGCAAATTCTTTCCTTTAGAACTGTTAGAATTTGCTTGGAAGCTGGAAGTTGGGAGGCAGTTAACTGGAATGGCACTTTCTTCTAAAGATTTTGGGTTTGTTTGTTTGTTTTGTTTGTTAGTTTTTAAATTAAATTTTGCTTCTTATTCCAGCATTACACTTGAGACCATCATAGAAACCCTCCTCTTTATACAGTTTTTGCTGCTCTAATTAATTCCCTTCTTTTCTTCTCTAGTCTCCCATCCCTCCTCCCTTCTGAAACTGGATCAAATAATAAAGGCAGGCTTCCAACTTTGTTGTTTGATGTGCTTTTATCACAAAATGAAGCAAAAATGAGAAGTGTGACTTTCCTATTATGATACTGTTAGTTGCTAAAATTAGGTGTCTGTGAAAAAAAATTTGTGATTTAAAGATACCAATCAACATGTGATATAATCTCTCACTCTCCAACACATACCAAATCTTAAAAACATACCTGTTGTTGTTATATTAGTTTTAAGAACTCAAAGATGAAGGGTATAAAGTATCTCAGTCACCAAGCAGACTGCAGGATAATCCACTAATCCAGAGAGATGAAAGGGAATGCAGATTTTATGCCCTCTCGAGAGTGGCAGCCTGTCAAAAAATAGATCCTTCTGCTCAGCTTGCCAGAAAAAGAGAGAAAAGAGAGAGAGAAAAGGTCTCTATCTTAGAGACGCAAATACACATACATGCACACAATGAGAATGTCTGTTCTACAGCTGTACATTAATCAACACTCCTGGTAGAAATCAAATATTAATGGACACCTATATTTCTTTAATGATGAGAAAGAAAGTATATTTTGAGGGGGGAAGTAACTCTGTTTGCACTTTAAAATACAAAGAAAAAATAAACAATTTTTATTTGCAACATACACTAAAATTATAATTGCAGAATAGCACTGTTTTAGAAGAATCTTAAGGTAGCTTATTCAAATAACAATCACGGTTAATACACAAAACTTGCATGTTCCAAAGGTTTTTCAGGTCAGATTCTGCTCCCTTTATGCATGTCAAATGTTACCTTTAATTGCAATTAGTAAGTGTCAATAAGAAACTTAGTCAAATTTGGATTTGAATTGTGTAATGTAGTGATGTACTTTCATCTGAATCCCACATGTATATGGGATATTCTCTGTAATGGAGAAAATGACAATATTACTTTGAGCACAGGAAACCAAACCTGTGTGATCATCCCCATTTCTTCAGCTCCCTTGCATTTAATCTATTTTTTATCTTTTATGTTCACAGGGTGCAGAAGGTGAAGGTGAGGATGGAAAAGCGTATCAGGCAAAATGTGGATAGAGTCAGCAGTAAAAGAAAAAAATGCATGCTGTCCTCTACTGTGCAAAGCAAGCATAATCTCTGACAGGAGTAAGTTTACACTTCTGGAAGGAAAAAAATAACCAGGAAAAATTCTTTAAAATGACAAGAAAAAAAATCTGACAGAGAAAAGATATTGTTTTCTATTTCATGGCATAGGTAACGTTGATTTGAACACTTCGTGTCAATACTTCTACTTTTACTTGTCCTGTAATTTGCATTCTGTAGATCTTCGTTTTGTATTTTAAACTGAGTACTGGCCATTCTCTGAGACAATCTGTCTCATGATCACTACCAAATGATAACATATATTTAAATATATAATAATGTATTTGATTCAAAAGTACAATAAATTAAACAAATTCCTTTGAACTTTCAGCAAAGAATAAGTGATGTGTTGACATATAGAGCACTGCTAGTGTTCCTGCATTCAACTATATGTGCATGCATTGCTGTGCATATGTGTGTATTACTGTGCATACTATTTGCAAGATTTCATTTCTTTTTATGAAATACATTGTAAATATGACCAATCTACCTCTGTTCTGCTGGGAAAGAGGTGTAACCACTCACAACATGAATACTGTTTTTAGAAATTGCTCAAGAAGTTAGAAATCAGCTTCACTGTGTATAAGGAAGCCAGGGAGCAATAGGAATAGGAAAGCATTATTCTGCACTGGGGGAGGCACCCAGTGCACGTGTTGTAACCATTGAGTAGAATCCAGGATGCTTTACCTCCCCATTAAACCTTTTCTTATACTGCCTTGCAACAGCATGAATGCTTGTGAATTATTAAAGAAGCACCAAAACTTCTTCCTGGCTCCTTATCCTGCATGTAGCTTGACTGACCTCCAGCTTCTGTCACTCTTGGTAGCAGCAGAGGACATGACCAAGTTAGGATACTCAGAGAGGATCTCTGGCTTCATGCAAGGAAATGAGTGTGGCCAAAGCTGTGCTACTTGCCTGCTGGTCACAGTGGGGCTGGACTGCCACAATCATGCTGTACTGAAAGGGGTTTCATGCTCTGTAAACCCTCTAGGCAAAATCTGTTTTTTTAATGATGTGTTAGACGAGAAGGTTTGATATGGTATGAAATATCCACTGTAAAGATAATTATGAGAGTCCCATGGAAAACAGAGGTCACAGCACACTTATTCCTTAGCCATTTACATAGGGTTTTTAAGGCATTTCAGAAGAACAAAGTGGGAAGAAGAGATTTCAACCAGAGCCGTGAGACAGCTTTTTGTATATTTATGAAGAGAAAAAGACACAAGGTGGGGAAAGTATGAAGGCTTTACAATCCCAGAGTATTAGTATTTGATGTTAATATTCATCGTATTATGCAAAAATGCAAAGTTAGACTTACCTTCTTAGTTAAGAATGCTCTGAGGCTTCTACAAAGATAGTGAAATTAAAAACATTAAGATAGAGATGATACGTAGCTGCAACATATTTTAATGATTATTTATTAAAAAAGCAGTGCAAATGCAGTAATGATTGAACTTTATTTCATAAAATACCAGTTAAGCCATCCACAATGCATGTGGACACAATAACTTAATTTGCCTGTTGTGTACCTCACTGGCATCCCTCCTGCCAGTGGGGTGGGTAAAATTATATGCTATAATATTCTGTTTTTCCTCATGCCTTCCTTGCCCTGAAATCGACAGTAATTATCAGGAAAATAGTTTTCTGAACAAATCTGGTTTCATAAGGACTCAGTAGAGGTACAAACATCACCTTCACTTTGTTGTTTTGTTTTGTTTTGTTTTTTACTTTAACATTCAAGTTACTGTGGAAAAAAACTACATCAATCACACTGAGAAGCACGTGTAAAGGCAAAAGAGATGGAGCACTAGGTGTACACAGCTGCTCAGAAGCAGAAAGCCCCTTCCCTTTTGGAATGTATCTGTAGAGGGAACTTGGATAAAAATGCTTTTCTGCTTAAGGGAATTTGAGTCCACCTCCATTGTGGCAGTAAAGTGGTCAAGCCATTAAATTATAGTCTGTACCTGAAACTGGGAATACAATTCTCTCCTCTTGCTGGTGCTGTAGATTAAGTCTGAGGAGCCTAAGTACTATTTTTTCAGGTGTTCTGCAGTGACTTGCTCTCAGTCTGTCCTACTGAAGAAAATTCACCTTGTGTAGTATACTGAAATATTTATTGGGAGTAATTCTGTGGCCTGGTTAGGACAAAAAAAAAAAAACCAAACCCAAAAGTAAAGAGACCTACTTTCTGCTTGGTTCGTATGAACAAAGAATGACCTTGCATAATGTATATTTAATTTACCATCCTCACCTAAGAAGTGAGTGATCTTAAATCCAACCCCTAGTTTGGTTCATGTTTAATTAGGCATGCAGAGTGAAATTGGCTTGGCAAACAAGAACTAAAGGTCCTTCTCTTGAAGGGGTTTGTACTGTCTTTTTGAAGGGTCTATCAATTCAGGTGGGTCAAAGGTGCGAATCAAATGAAGATGCCCTTCTTCTGGTGGGTTCTATCTTCTGAAGCATTAAGAGTGTATTTGCAACAGAATTTTGTCCTAAGATCAGAAGTGCATTTTTCAAGTGACTCTCCCAGTCACTTCTAGTTCCTGTCTGTTGGTTCACACTGAAATACAAGCCTGTGATCCAGCTGCACACAGGAAGTCAGTTCAAAGGGTCACAACCACATTATTCTAAAGTAGCAACCCCTGAAAGTCATGTAGCGTAAATGAAAAGCCCCAATTGCTGTTTCTTTCTACAGATTTGCAGTGACTTGACTGCACTTCTTCCTAATGCAGACAAAGCCTTAACTTCACTTTTGCTTCAAGAGTGATTTTCTTTTTGTAGTGACTTCAAATCTATATACGAGACACTTATAAGGGACCAAATCCACAATTTCTGGTGTTTCCACCGATTTTAAGAAAGAAAAGACTGGATTTATTTAAACTATAACATGCTTTTGCTACATTTACAGATTTGATTTGTCCCATAACAAGGTCACATGTATATTTGCAGCCCCAGTTGAATTATAGTTCTGTGCACAAACATTCTGCAACTGTACTATATTTTAGGAATAAAAATCAGGAAACTATCTGGATTGACAGTATAGAAGTGCTTTCAGTACAAAAGAGCATCATGTGTAGGACCAACTAATAGTTTATGATGAGAGGATAAGAAGGCTGACAATATGGTTTCTAAACTTTTTTAGGGAATGCAAAGTGTTTTCTTAACAAATTTCTAGATGTTATCTCCTCAGGCGTGCTTAATGGTCATGAGCTGTTGACTAATTGTAGGCTGCCAAAACCAGTTCAGGATTGTTTACTCAATGCAATTTCTCAGATAATTCTCTTCCAATGTGAAGGTACTTCCTTTCTTGTTTATTGGTAAGTGGTACTAGCTGCTGTGTTTTCTGTTAATGGTATTCCAACACATAATATTACTTTTATTAACTACACCACCATTACTATATATTTTGGGGTTTGAGCCATGTATTGCAGCCATCTTGAAAAATGTTTGAAACTAAGCAAGCGAAGAATGAGTGATTTACATCAGCCACAAATGCACCATTCACCCAAATGCTGCAAGCAAATAATTTCAAAAGCTTTTCTAATGAATGGCATTCATACTTCTAAAAGGAATCAATGTGAATCCTGCCAACTTCTTTCCAGAACAATCTTTGATATGAGAAAATATTGAACATGCAGAGCCTTTGAATAAGTAAGTTCAGAAAAGCACTGGGAATATTAGATGTAGTTTGAAATATGAATGCTCAGATATGTCTTTATGGGAAATTCATGTAAATTATTTCTGGATTTCTTGACTTCATTTTTTTCCCTCTAAGATATTAACTATTTTAATATAGTCTTCTTGCTGAATTACAAGTAGGATTCATTTTTGCTGATTATTAATTTCTTTGTCTCCTATTTGTAGCACAGCTGAGTTTTAAGTTATTTTAAGTAATCTTTTTTACTTTTTCTTCAAATCTCACACAGACTGCAATCTTCTGCATGATGTGAATGGATTTAATTGGACTTTATTAGGGCTGACATTGAGTCAAACGTAAATAAAAAAAAAAAAACAAGAGTAAAAGGTTTGCCAAATTACATCCTAAAGGCATATACTTGATTAACAGAATGTATTTTAAATTTTCACTTTCATCCATTCACATTTGTGAAATTGTGGAATATTTCCTGAAGCTTCCTTCTTGCCAAATAGTGCACTATCACAGACTGACACAGAGCCAGTTTCCTGATTACACAGGTTGCATTTTGAATGCATATAAAAGAAATACATTTTTAGTTACTTATTTGTAATGTTGAATATGACCAGTGTTTGCAATATGAGGATATGTCCTGATAATATAAATACAGCTTTATGCTGCTGTATTCAAGTACTTTGTAACCTTTACAGAGAAACACCACACCTATCCAAATTTAGGTCTGATCCCAGTAACTGTTTCTATGTAACAATATTGATATAGCTTTATGGGGTTTTATGCAAATTCAGTGACAGTATTTTTGAAGAAAGCAGTAGTCCAGCTCTCAAGTGGCGATATAGATGAAGTCATGTGCTATCATAACCTGGGAACCAGATTACAGTCCCTTAGAATAATTTACAGGACAGAAAGTCTTGTAAACAAATATTTAAGGAGACAGACATTCAATATCTTGTAAAATCTAGGATGTACATATTTTAAAAAATTAACACTTAGAATTCTGAGATATGTACATGCAACTATGCCATAATCAAGCTTGTACCCTGTGAATGAAACTCATCTGTTATCCTCTCCTCTATGTTGCATTTATGCTTTTTTCACAAACACTTTCATATGTTGCCCCTACTAATTCATGAACTTGTAAGTCCTTTCATTCATATGCACTTGGATGACAGTGTGTGTACAACTCTTTGGTTAGAAAAGAGCAGGTAGATAACACAGAATATTTGCCAGGTTTCTCTGCTGATGTCCCTAAAAACAGAGATTCTCCTGCTAAGAGTGTCCATACCGTGTCATGAAGAGAAGAGACATCTCCAGGAGGTTATTTTGCATTTCTTTTAGCAATTAAAGTTATATCAGTTCTCAGGGGACATTTTAATATTACTTTCAGATAACAAAATATATCTAAATTTAGCTATCTTCAGAATCCATTTCTGTAAAGGAAAAAAAATCTGGTGAGAAAAAAATGAGATTTACAAAAAAGCCCAATGGCCAAACAACAAAAAGGAAATATAAAAATAACAATGCCTCCCACCCTCATTTTGTGTGAACAGTTCAGAAAAATATTTTAGTGGATTTCAAAGTGTCATGATAAGATTGATAGAAGTTTATAAGATGACAATGAAAATAAACAAGATTCAATTAGTTCAGCACCAGGGAACAGGGATGTACTACCTGATGTTGGCCTCAAAGGAGGAGTACATCAAGGACAGGAGGAAGCTTAGACAGAGACAGCTGTTGAAGATTATATTTTACTGGCTTCCATGAAGAGCTCTCTGGAGAATGTCAGTAGATTTACTGGATTCAGTAACATGACTTCTTGGTGGTTGATAGGGAAAAAATTATTTTTGAAGAGATTCTGGTTTTATTGTGTGAGAATGTAATATTGTGTTTGCAGCTAGCTGGACACATGGTGTTTACCCTGAAGAGTTTTTATTGTGAGAGAAAAATCACATCTAAAAAAATTATGGATGCCTTTGAAAATTATTCCTCATCTCCATGACTGTTTTCTATATGGATTTTACCTTTCACAAAGGCTTTGGTGGTGACGTGTGGCCACAGATGTGCATCAGACACAAATAAGTTTTCCTGCAGTTCAGGTGTTTTCAAGGGATCTTACAAGGGATATTATAACCCACTGTCTGCAGCCAGCTGCTGGATTAATTCCAGACATTTTAGCTGACATCCTTGAAATTAATGGGAATTTTCCCTAATTCTCATCTTTGAACCACGCTGTCAAAACATCTTTTAAAAGTTGGCAGAGCCTCAGGGACACACAGTTTCTGAAAGAAGTGGCATTAGTAATAAAGCAACACAGAAAATATTTGAGAGTGTAGAGAACTGATTAAAACAGATTCTCTGGTTTGGATCTCAGTAGGAAAAATATAGTACATTTTATGACTGAAGATAATTATAGGATATCTGTGTGATTACATTTGCAATTTTCATACCCAATCAAAATGAAATATCTTGAGTTGCTTCTTCTTCAGGCTGACTTTCCTTTGAAGTTGTGTTTTCTCTAGCATTAATAAAAAAGATATTGAATGAAAGAGGCTTGTGCTAAGTTGCATTTCTGCAAAAAGGTTAATTTCTAAACATAATATTTATTAAAAAAATAGACATTATAAATATCAAATAGTGTGTTCTATCATGTCATATGTGTAAAAATTTGTCTACACATCCACAAAGGAGAACAGAGA